CGGCCAACGAACCATCAGTCCGTGCTATGACCGAGCTCAGGACGGCGGTCAGTTTAGTGTACGCCGCCCAGAGATTCTTGGCGATGTCACCCTTTCGGTTTTTTGACCTCTCGACAGACCTGGCGATGGCGCCGAGCTCCCGTGTTACCATGGAAGCCACGGCGCTCACCGGCTGCTCATCATACTCTGCCGAGAGGTCTTCCGCCCTCTTGAGCGCCTTTTTGGTCGAGGCCGATTGGTGCCGGACCTCCGGGTCCATAACGATGCGGTGATCCCGCTCCATCTGTTTCGCCCTTCTCCGGTCTACCGCCTCGGCCCTGGCCTCGGCCGTGAATTTACCCACATGGGTTAGATCCTTGGCCGGCCTCCCCCGCCGCCTCTTCGTCGCCCCGTCCGGGGTGATACTGATTGATCACGGCACGATTGGACACCACCAATCACAGCGACCGATGCTTAGGAGCTTTGTAGTCTAAAGCGCTGTAAGTGGCTCGTGTCCCATTGAGCCGTGTCCAACTGGGTGCCACTCGCCCCGTCCGAGTCCAAGGAGGTGCCAATCACCTCCATCGGTCTCTTTCTGGAGTCCCCAGCGAGGGACTCCAAGGACGCGCAGGAGCCCGCCCTCGAGGGCGGCTCCCCACGGTCCTCCGGCACAGACATGACGGAGACCCTGTCCGCGGCTCGTTTGGAGCACGCCGGGCCCAGACGCTCTCCGCGGGGGAACGGCTCCTCCGCCTCTCGCGTCCGCGGGGGAGGGCCCATCGTTCCCGCTCCATCGGACGGCAGCGAGTCGCTGCTCCCACCTCTTTTCAGGCGTAGCATGTCCGCACCACCGTCTGGCTCCTCAAAGAGCTGGGTGGCCTCCCCAATGAGGACCAGGCCCAGCTCCATCATGCGAGAAATCGTCCTCAATGAACGAAGCCTCGCAGTAGGCGTCCTCCCAATCGGCGAGACCTTGCAGCCCGTGCCGCTCTACTTCCATCTTCGCAGACGCATTTCTTTCCGACGGCGGACCTGCGGTGCACCCGTCGTCGCGCCTGTCGTCAGATACTTGACCCAGAGAGGCCAAGTTCGACCCGGGAGCGGCCAGGACGCCACCTCCCCCGTGCCGACAGCTGCCCGTTCCGATACCGGCTGCTGACGTAATCATCGATTTATGTATCTCCATCAGAACAAACAATATAAGGTGGGGTTATTTTACAAGCTGCCCCAGGCCGGGTGTACGATTTTCTTTCCGGGTTTGAGAGGTTTTCCTTCCCCATCACCGCCCGCCGGGCCCCGCCTCGGAATAGGTCCGAGCGACCCCGACGGGCTAAGGCAGCAGGCCCTGCCTCGGAATACGTCTGAGCGGCCCTGCTGCCCTCCACTCCCCGGACGCGCGCTGTAGGCAACGATGCGTCCACCTTCCCCCTGGGCGTATGCTGCACCGCAGCAACACGCCCACCATCCCCGTCACGAGCAGGGAGCAATGCTCCCCCTATCGATGCCGTGCCACCGGGCGATTGAAATCAGGGCCGCCAACCCCTACCGGCACATTGGGGAACCACTCCGAGGAGCGGTTCCCCCAGAGACGCCTCATAACTGAGACGCCCCCTTGAGGTGCCGGACCCGCCGTACAGACCCCTCCCAGAAAGGAAGAGGTCCGTACAGGCTGCTCTTGGACCTCCAGGGGCCGCAAAGCGACCCATGTGGGAGTCCCCTCACCACGACAAGGTGGCGGCCCGCGAGGGGGATATAGTAGACCTCTTTAAAATTCACAATATACTGTATAAAATTAATGCAAAGTGTACTCTATGTACAGCCGGTCACAGGAAGGTTGCAACACTTTTTTTCGATGGGTTTCGAAATGTAGCTTGCTCACCGAGCGGTTGGTTCTTGTTCATGGATCCACAAATAAGAACCAATCGCTCGGTAAGTAGACTGCATTCCGAAACCCATAGAAAAAAAAGTGTTGCAACTTTTCTGTGACTGACTGTATGTACAGCATGTAATATAGAGAATGGGAGGCCGAACTTACATGAACGAGGCCGCCAAAAAGCGTGGTCAAAAAGTGTGGTCAAAAGTGGTCATCTGAATTAGTTTGATCGAGATGTCGCTTTCGTTCCACGACACCGTTCTCGCAGTTTGCATGGTAGGTCATACCAATTTTACATGAAGAATGCTCCATTCTTCATGCAATTTTAATGACAATTTACGTCTTTCTGTTACTGTCAGAGCATGACATCAAAGAATAACGTCTCTATTTTTAAGTTATGTGTGTTCGGTTGTGTGTGCGTAAGCATATATGAGAGGAGTTTTGCGATTCAGACGCCGCTTACCGAGCACTACCAATATCAATTCAGAAACTTGATTTTAACCACACTTTTCGAAGCCTAGTTCGGCCTCTTATTCTTTATACTCCATGATGTACAGATAACAGTAACAAATAAGGTTACTTAGTGCCGAGACACTACCTGTTTCCAGATTGTTAAATTGATACTAAAATTGATACAAAAATACATTGAATCCATATGTGTACATTCCATTAAATTGTGTACATTCGAATAAATACATATGGTAGCTAAAGTGTTAATAGTATTACAAAGTTATATTACAATTATCATGCAGTTTTAATGAGACATAATAACGTACCTAAAAGGTCAGCTTATTCTGAAAAATTTTTTAAACTAAAATGTAAAATAATATTTCTGTTAGTATAGTAAAAAATTATAATAAATTATGCTTATTTTTTAATTACGAACAATAAGTCTTTGAACAATTTTATTTTTGCAAAAAGAAGAAAACATAAATTTAAATTTATAGTAGTAATTTAACGTCAAGCTATTACTTCTCTGTTTCAGATGACATAGAATGGGTTGGGTGGCGCTAGGGCGGTGTGCGAGTGGTGGCGGCCGCTTCTCATCTATCCTCTCGCTATCTCTCACCTCCTTCGTGAGTTCCTTAATCTTCACATCCCTTTGTATCCTCACACTTGCCTTTTCACTCGTCTCTCTCGTTCGTGCCGAAGACATGTACGTATAGCACACAAGATAATCGCCATATACGAATTGCCTTTTAGCTTTTCGAACGTCCTCCAATCATAATATGCTATTTTATGATTCGGACATAAGAGATTTGTTCGCGTCGCATACTCCAATATACTTCAACATGTTTCTACCATAGCTCCTACTCATTTTAACGCGTTTGAATAAGTAGGAGCTACGGAGGAAGTAAGAGCATGTTGGAGCATGCGACGTGAACAAACCTAAGGAGATGGCAAGAATTGTGAAGTGCCCATAGACGTAGTATTTCTAGACTGAGTATTGTCAGAAATTTGAGGAATGTGGGTAGTCCTCATTTAGTAAAGGACGCACTCACTTTGTCCAAAGAGAATCGAGGGAGAGTGGAGCGGAGAGTGTTTCTCTTCTCTTTTTGTTCCGCCGTTTGTAATGCAAATTCCGCAAATGTGCATGTGTGTGTATGTACATATATGTCATACACACAATACTAGTGCTATACAATATTAATATGTGCAGCACCGTATATTCCATCACGCTCCTCACTTCAACGGTGCACTATAAATGGTAGCTTCCGGGTGAGTCCGCTCCACTCTCCCTCGATTCTCTCTGACTTGGTCTTTAGTTTACATGCATACGCGAAACGAGAGAGAACGCATCTGGACCAAGTCAGAGAGAATCAAAGGATGCGTTCCGTTTCATGCATGGACCGCATAGGACGCAACACATCCTATGCACGCATTAGCTCGATTCTTTTTTCTCATGCTCATAGAGAAACGGAACGGATCCTATGCAGTTCATGCATACGATTAAAAAGTCTAGATAAAAAATATAATTCTAATTTGCATTTGGAATAAATATTATGTTGCTGCTTTTTAAAGAATCTTGATGTTCAAGGTTACAAAACTTATATACGATATTAATTCGGGTAAAAGTTTTTCATGTACGAATATAAAATTTGTATCTACAAACATACATAAAGATGTATAAATAATCATAAATATATATACTTATATATGAAACATATCCATACATACATATGCTCGTACATCCTTCTTCTTTTTGTAAAATTACATTTTAGTGCAATAAAAATAATAATAATGAAGACATTAAAAAAATTAAAATAATCATTTTCTCATTATTTCACTATTATTTTCCCATTATTTGTTTAAAAAAAAAATCTGGAGAAAAGTAAAAAATTGCTGATAATTTTTTATATATAAAATTACACATAATTATGTATGTGTATGAGTAATATTTTTTACATTTCTCTAAACTTGATTTTTTCTAAAACAAACAATGCAAAAATTGCCCCTTTAATTTTATATTTGACATCTTATTATTATTTTTATTACACTAAAAACAATTTTACAAAAGAAAAAAGAATGAATAAACACATGTGGATATATACAATTACATATGTAATTATAATAATTATATATATTAGGTGTACAACTTTGATTCCGCCGTTTTTTTTTTCCGAAATTCGAGGCTCTAATGTAAAACTGATTATACATTTACGATTCAAAGTATTGTCTATCGCTGGCCACTATTTTCTCCCATCTTTCGGGCAGCGTACGAATCCCGCGTCGAAAAAACTGGTCATCTTTTGAGGCAATCCGCGAATCGATCCGAGTCAGCCAGGCCGTGTGCCATTGATCGAAACAAGTGATAGTCAGAGGGAGCAACGTCTGGAGAATACGGCGGGTGGGATAGGATTTCCCATTTCAACGTTTCCAAGTATGTCTTGACCACTTCCGCAACATGGGGTCGAGCATTGTCATGCTGCAAAATTACTTTATCGTGTCTCTCGTTGTACTGCGGCCGTTTGTCTTTCAATGCTCGGCTCAAACGCATCAATTGCATTCGATACCGATCGCCTGTGATTGTTTCAGTCGGTTTTAACAGTTCATAATACACTACGCCGAGCTGGTCCCCCCAAATACAGAGCATGAACTTGGAGCCGTGAATATTCGATTTAACCGTCGACGTGAAAGCAGGCCGAGAATTCCCCATGATTTTCTGCGCTTAGTGTTATCGTAATGAACCCATTTTTCGTCCCCAGTCACAATGCGATGCAGAAATCCCTTCCGTCTTTGCCTTTCAAGCAGCTGTTCACAAGCAAACAAACGCCGTTCAACATCTCTTGGCTTCAACTCGTACGGCACCCAATTTCCTTGCTTCTGAATCATTCCCATGGCTTTGAGGCGTTTTGAAATGACTTGTTGAGTCACTCCCAATGATCGTGCCAATTCTTCTTGATTTTGACACGAGTCTTGATCAAGTAATACCTCCAATTCTGCATTTTCGAAAACTTTCACTCTTCCACCGTTATGCCGGTCTTCGACGTCAAAATCACCGTTCTTGAAGCATTGAAACCACTCACGACACGTTCTTTCACTAATAGCGACTTCACCATAAGTATTTGAGAGTATTCGATGAGCCTCAGCCGCAGATTTTTTCATATTGAAGCAGAAAATTAAAACCTCCCGCAAATGACGAGAATTTGACTCGTAAACTGACATTTTCAATCGAGAATAACTTTATGATGCAGACACAAATCGACTAATGTTTCTATGGGGTTATATTGACAGATGCCCAAGTTTATTGTATGACGTCTATGATCTATTTATTTCGACCACCACTTACCGCTAAAGCCATCTATAGGAAAACGGCGGAAGCAAAGTTGTACACCTAATAACTTCATATACAATTATATATGTTTATAAATATTTATACATATTTATATATATTTATGCATAAACAATTTTTTACCATATTACTTACTATCAGTTGTTGCTGTTATGAATTCAGCATCGAATACGTTTAATATTTATAATTCATCGTTTTTGTAAATATGAAGTTCTTTCATTTCCAAAGAAATATGGTTTTTCACACAATAATGTTATACAATATAGGGTATATAGGTGGATTCTAATTCCGAATTAAAATCCGCCTATATACCCTATTAATAACAATAGAAATAATTAATTACTCTTTCCCACCTAAAATGGCTAACGTAACCTTCACACATAGATATCGCATGGACTGTCTCATCTCGGGAGCTGAGGCAGCCCCTACGCTGTCTTACGCTGCGAGTCGTATAGACACCCTGCCGTTTTCATGCGCGCATGAACGGAGTATGGAGTGAAACGGAATGCCTTCTGTACTCTCCGTGCGCATCATGCGTGAAACGGAACGCAGCCAAGAAAAAGTGGAGCGGATTCAGTCAGAAGCCGCCATTTTCAATTTATCGTTGGAGTGAGTAGGGGATATGATAGGAACGTGATGGAACATACGGTACTGCACACACTATATTGTATTGTGTGTATGTACAGTCGCGGACACTGAGGTTGCAACACTTTTTTTTTTCGATGGTTTGCAGAACACGCAACAATTTTCAGAGCGCGATTTACCATCTATTGATACATGTAACGATCGGTTATAATCGTATAGAATCGAAGTATACAATGTGACAGAAATGTATCTTGTGCGACGCGACAAACTTTTAAGATATTAATTGGATACCGTAGGATTAGGGTAAATATAAAGGTCAAATAAACAATTTTGTTTAAAAATTTACATTCCCAATGCGTTGAAAATTAATATACATAATTACATAATTACATATTAATATATAATATGCATTATGTAATTATATTATTATTACATAATAATTTTTATTATTATTTAATTTATTATTATTGTTATTATTTATTATTATTTATTATTATTTTTACCATTATTTAATTTTTATTTAATTGATATCTTAAGTGTTTAATTGATATCGCGTCGCACAAGATACATTTCTTAATTTCACTTTGATCCTGTATCATTTTGATATATATGCCACAGATAATCCATAATAAATAAACGTTAAATTCGACACATGTAACGATCGGTTATAATCGTATAGAATCGAAGTATACAATGTGACAGAAATGTATCTTGTGCGACGCGACAAACTTTTAAGATATTAATTGGATACCGTAGGATTAGGGTAAATATAAAGGTCAAATAAACAATTTTGTTTAAAAATTTACATTCCCAATGCGTTGAAAATTAATAGGTCACATATATTAAAATTATCACATAATTATATATTAATATATAATATGCATTATGTAATTATATTATTATTACATAATAATTTTTATTATTATTTAATTTATTATTATTGTTATTATTTATTATTATTTTTTATTATTATTTATTATTATTTTTACTATTATTTAATTTTTATTTTTATTTAATTGATATCTTAAGTGTTTGTCGCGTCGCACAAGATACATTTCTTGATTTCACTTTGATCCTGTATCATTTTGATATATATGCCACAGATAATCCATAATAAATAAACGTTAAATTCGACACGTATATCTATTACATACATTTATATATTTATTACATTTATGTAATAAATGTATGTATAAATGTATAAATGTGTTGTTTATTTGACTTTTATATTTACTCTAATCATACAGTATCCAATTAATATCTTAAGAGTTTGTCGCGTCGCGCAAGATACATTTCTGTCACATTGTATACTTCGGTTCTATATGATTGTAACTGATCGTTATACGTATCAATAGATGGTAGATCGCGCTCTGAAAATTGTTGCGTGTTCTGCAAACCATCGAAAAAAAAAGTGTTGCAACCTCAGTGTCCGCGACTGTACATATATGTACATATACTCACATGCACATTTGCAGAAGTGCACAATAAATGGCAGAACCAATCAGAGAAGGGAACACTCTCCGCTCCACTCTCCCTTGATTCTCTCTAAACCAAATGAATGCGTCCTTTTCTACATGAAAACTACTCCCACTCCTCGAATACTTGGTCTAGAGATACTATGTCTATGGAAGTGCCAAATGGGATGAGCCATAAGTTATTCGAAAGGTAAGGTTGTACTAATAATGTAAAAAAGAGTTTGGGTGGATAGGCTTTTGAATCTGAGAAATTTGCAATTAAGGATGGGCGTCCGATCAGCTGTACGGTTAGTATTAGGATTGTGGGTCGTAAACAAGAAAACGGCATAGGGTTCACGCAC